CACAAGTACACTATGTTAGGAGAAGAACTAAAATCTGTGACCCACATTCCATATCTAGGGATCGAAATCACAAACAACCTAAACTGGACGACACACATACAAACAGTAGTATCAAAATCTAACAAGGTACTAGGCTTCCTCCGGCGCAACCTCCACCAGTGCCCAGAGAACATTAAAGCCCAGGCATACAAGTCACTAGTTCGGCCTAACCTAGAATATGCTAGTGCAGCATGGGATCCTTACCGCCAGAAAGATGTCAACAAACTGGAACAGGTACAAAGGAGAGCAGCCAGATTTGTTACCAAATGTCACTCTAGGGAACCAGGCTGTGTCACCCAAGCTCTCCAACACCTGCAGTGGGAATCACTACAATCCCGTAGGGAAGGGAGGGTACTAGACTTTACCTCTTCTACAAAGGAACTCACAACTTAGCAGCCATCACTATACCCACTTACTTCAGCCCTCAAATAAACACAAACACTAAACAGTTCCATCCATCCAAATTCATCCAACCAGCTGTCAGAACGGATGCATACAAGTTTAGTTACTTTCCAAGGACAATAGTAAAATGGAACACTCTACCCAGTGATATTTTAGACAGTGATAGCCTATCCAGTTTTAAATCTTCTGTCAGCAAGCAGCTTAACAATTAAGCTCAGTTGTATTTTAGCAATAGGTCTATGGTACATTCTTAAAATTTGTTTTTGTTTATAGAAATGATTTTTGAATATGGCCAACTTTTCTACAAACGGGAGCATCGACCTTGGGGAAGATGCCTCCTTAAGTGGAGAAGTGTTGCATGATTTCAGTGTACATTTTAATATGAGTTGTAAACCATAGATCTATTTTTATGTCACCACCAAAAGTGGTGACATATTGTTATGGTCTCCGTTTTTTTTTATGTCACCACCAAAAGTGGTGACATATTGTGGTGGTGACATATTGTTATGGTCTCCGTTTTTTTGCGACGGCGGTTGGTGGTTGGCGTCCGGCGTCTGGCGTCCGGCGTCTGTAACAATTTCTTACAACTTCCTATAACTTAACAAATACTGTTTAGACTGACTTCAATTTTTTTCTAAATCATCTACATGTTCTCAGAAGTTCAAATCTGACTTTAGATTTGACATTTGACCTTCAATGACCTTCTCAAGGTCAAAAAGGTCTTTTTTCAACTTGCTTCACATTGACTAAATTTTTTTTCAAAATCATCTACATGTTCTCAGAAATTCAAATCTGACTTTAGATTTGACATTTGACCTTCAAATCTGACTTTAGATTTGACATTTGACCTTCAATGACCTTCTCAAGGTCAAAAAAGGTCAAAAAGGTCTGTTTTCAACTTGCTTCAAATTGACTAAATTTTTTTTTCAAAATCATCTACGTGTTCTCAGAAATTCAAATCTGACTTAAGATTTGACTTAAGATTTGACATTTGACCTTCAATGACCTTCTCAAGGTCAAAAAAGGTCAAAAAGGTCTGTTTTCAACTTGCTTCAAATTGACTAAAAAAAAATTTCAAAATCATCTATGTATTCTCAGAAATTCAAATCTGACTTTAGATTTGACTTAAGATTTGACATTTGACCTTCAATGACCTTCTGAAAGTCAAAAAAGGTCAAAAAGGTCTTTTTTCAACTTGCTTCAAATTGACTAATTTTTTTTTTCAAAATCATCTACATGTTCTCAGAAATTCAAATATGACTTTAGATTTGACTTTAGATTTGACATTTGACCTTCAGTGACCTTTTCAAGGTCAAAAAAAGGTCAAAAAGGTCTTTTTTCAACTTGCTTCAAATTGACTAATTTTGACCAAAAGTGGTGACATATTGTTATGGTCTCCGTTTTTTTGCGACGGCGGTTGGTGGTTGGCGTCCGGCGTCTGGTGTCCGGCGTCTGTAACAATTTCTTACAACTTCCTATAACTTAACAAATACTGTTTAGACTGACTTCAATTTTTTTCTAAATCATCTACATGTTCTCAGAAGTTCAAATCTGACTTTAGATTTGACATTTGACCTTCAATGACCTTCTCAAGGTCAAAAAGGTCTTTTTTCAACTTGCTTCACATTGACTAAATTTTTTTTCAAAATCATCTACATGTTCTCAGAAATTCAAATCTGACTTTAGATTTGACATTTGACCTTCAAATCTGACTTTAGATTTGACATTTGACCTTCAATGTCCTTCTCAAGGTCAAAAAAGGTCAAAAAGGTCTGTTTTCAACTTGCTTCAAATTGACTAAAAAATTTTTTCAAAATCATCTACGTGTTCTCAGAAATTCAAATCTGACTTAAGATTTGACTTAAGATTTGACATTTGACCTTCAATGACCTTCTCAAGGTCAAAAAAGGTCAAAAAGGTCTGTTTTCAACTTGCTTCAAATTGACTAAAAAAAAATTTCAAAATCATCTATGTATTCTCAGAAATTCAAATCTGACTTTAGATTTGACTTAAGATTTGACATTTGACCTTCAATGACCTTCTCAAAATCAAAAAAGGTCAAAAAGGTCTTTTTTCAACTTGCTTCAAATTGACTAATTTTTTTTTTCAAAATCATCTACATGTTCTCAGAAATTCAAATATGACTTTAGATTTGACTTTAGATTTGACATTTGACCTTCAGTGACCTTTTCAAGGTCAAAAAAAGGTCAAAAAGGTCTTTTTTCAACTTGCTTCAAATTGACTAATTTTTTTTTTCAAAATCATCTACATGTTCTCAGAAATTCAAATCTGAATTTAGATTTGACATTTGACCTTTAATGACCTTCTCAAGGTCAAAAAAGGTCTGTTTTCAACTTGCTTCAAATTGACCCAATTTTTTTTTCAAAATCATCTACATCTTTTCAGAAGTTCAAATTTGACTTAACAAGTTCTCAGAAGTTCAAATCTGACTTTAAATTTGACCTTTGACCTTCAATGACCTTCTCAAGGTCAAAAAGGTCTTTTTTCAACTTGCTTCAAATTGACTAATTTTTTTTCAAAATCATCTACATGTTCTCAGAAGTTCAAATCTGACTTTAGATTTGACATTTGACCTTCAATGACCTTGAAAAGGTCAAAAAGGTCTTTTTTCAACTTGCTTCAAATTTACTTAATTTTTTTTTCAAAATCATCTACATGTTCTCAGAAGTTCAAATCTGACTTTACATTTGACATTTGACCTTCAATGACCCTCTCAATGTCAAAAAAAGTCAAAGAGGTATTTTTTCAACTTGCTTCAAATTGACGAATTTTTTTTTCAAAATCATCTACATGTTCTAAGAAGTTCAAATCAAACCTTCTTAAGGTCAAAAGGTATTTTCCAACTTGCTTTAAATTGACCAAATTGTTTTAGGTGGTGACATTTTGTCATGTTAATGCCTTGTTTAAGGAATGTTATAAAAACCCTTCGACCTTCGACCTGCACCTTCGACCTTCACCTTCGACTTACAGGGTGTCCAAAAAGAAAATATTATAGAATTTATTTTTGCTGATCTCAGACCACGCAAGAGTCACTTGATTTGTGGTTCACGGGTGAGATCGTTAAGATCTTAATTTGTAGCAACGTTTGCAGTACTTTAGGTATAGTTACAGGGGTGAAATAGCGTTTTCATGTTATCAAATTAAGATTCTGTTGATGTTGATCGGGTAGTCAATCGGGTAGTTTAAATGGAAGTTTCCCTTTTTAGAACTTACTTCCTGGTTTTGATTCGATTGAATCGAAGTAAGATTAGAGTAAGTAGCGATCAATTGTTCTATTAATTGAGTTCCAATTATAGTCTTGTTGTGTGATCAATATTAAAACGGGATATGGCGTCAATAACTTGTTATTTAACTTTGAAATCTTGTCCGAAAAGTGATGACGTCACCAGGCCTATAAAGTATTTCGCCCATGTAAACTCAAGAGATGGCAACTATAGCTTTTGACGAGGACAGAGCTCCGTTCAATTTCATAATCTATGTGAAGTTGGACTTAGTCGTTTTTCAAAGAAATATTTTGGGACTTTGACAATTTTCATAAGAAAAGTCAAAGGTGCAGGTCGAAGGGTTTTTATAACTTTCCTTTTGGCCCGGTTTTTGGATACCCTGTAGGTCGAAGCTGAAGGTCGAAGGTGCAGGTCGAAGGTCGAAGGGTTTTTATAACATTCCATTTTTTAAATGTTAAGGTTCAAATTGTATTCTATTCAAATTATATCACTGTTAAACTATATATCTGCTTTAAATGGGCTTATTAGCCTTTTGCAAATTATTGATGTACATGTAGATGTTTTGATTTTCATGGGATATTTTTGTTGACTTTTTTTGACATGGAGGTGAGATGCTTTGCTATATTTCTCTGAAATTTTTTGAAAATCGATTGTGATTTGAGAAATTCCAATTCGAACTTTGTCAATTTAACATGCATCTCAATGGTACAAAAAGTAGATCTAAGGTAGAAAGCAACTTACTTTTTCACGCATTGGAATACATGTAAAATTGGCAAAGTTCAAATCATAATTTCTCAAATCCCAGCCCATCGAATCCTCGCATCCATTCAGATCATGTAGTCCTATTCAAAAACTTCCCGTTCGGTTATATGGTGAAAAAAATATCCCACGAACGAAAAAAGATTTTGCTACATTTATAAGCGAGCATTGATTTCTGGGCCTGTAAAAAGCACGTAGGACCTGATTACCCCATTGATTTACTGAGACCGCCAAAAATATAATTCAATTTTTTGGTTCAAAATAATAATCTGTCAGCGGTCCCTGACACTCCTACTAGCTATCACCAAACATTAATTGCCAATACATGTACACATATACGTGCCATACATCTACAAAGTAGCGAACTAGTGTATTAAGTACTACTTTTCCTATACGATGAGCAAAACAAATCTCAAGTAGGTTAAATTGAGCCTAAGGAGAGTCTTACCACTGTCATTTTATGAGTGGCTTACAAATGTTGAACCTAGGTCCAAATGTAACCCATTTAACTTGCACGAACGTTACGAAACGTTTTTCAACAAAGTTCATACATACCTCTCAGATTCTCATCGATTGGTTGATGAACTGCTTCTTATAATACAACCAAAAGCGATTTTTCGTTTTTTTCGAAAATTCTTTATTCCTCTATTTTGAAGAGCTTCATACATCGAATTTACGATCAAGAAATATTATCTGGTTTCGATTTGTGTTAATCGATGGAGCTTCTGGAGAAACTCAAACGAAAGGGCATTCGTTCAATTTAGATATCAGTATCTCACTCCATTTATTATGTTACACCAGATTCAGTTGATATCTGTGAATAGTATGACGATGATGATTATCTGGTGTGCGTACTTTTACCGCAACTTAGATTTCCTGAAAAAGCATTGAAATGAAAGGTAGGCTAAATGTTTCAGGAACTTGTAGCACTTATATACATATAAATGACTCAGGTCTGACATAAGCATCTCATATTATAGTGCTACAAGTGTCTATGCATACCAGCTAAATATTTTGACTCTGAATGGCGATGCTTTCAGCAAAATATATTTGAAACTGAAAGTAAAATATCCGGAGAAACGAAAGTGAAAGTAGAATTTCATATATACGTCCATATTTCAAGCAAACCTTGTACCATTTCTCTGGCAAACCTTGCAAGGTTCCATCATAATTGTGGTCAATCGAATGTAAAATGATGAACAATCAAAGGATAACAGTGCAATACTACATGTATATGGAAAAATTTATCCCGTACCAGGACTACAGTTGGGGACAAAAATAAATGACAGGTCGATTTTCGATCACCATTTCCTAATTATGGTGGTCTGAAAGCCCATAATTTCCAATATTGTCTAGATATATATCCCTTTAAATTTGTATATTTTACATTTTGTATAATCTCATCCACTGATGTATGGCCTCTTGTAAATTCTCTTATTTTTAACATGGGAAATCCTCACTTCAGCAAATCCACCTGTCATTTATTTATGTCCCCAACTGTATAGTCCTGTTATCCCATACCTGGTACGGGATAATAGTCCTGCATTGAGAGCATTCTTTTGCATGTACGATTACAACTTGGGAGAATTATCTACGCCCCTTACACTTATGATACCTACTTCAATTGATTCCTGGGTATTTTAGCATTCTTTTCGTGTAGTTGAATCCACAATTGTCTGGGTATATCGGTAGTCCAACAACATTAGACCTAGCCCGGGCCTCGTTTCTTATCTGACATGTGTTATGGCCCGGCTAGGTCTAACCTCCATGACCATTTTGCCTTTGATGCGTTAATTTAATCGTTCAGCAGGTTTCGACAAGCGGAACAAATTAAACCCTGAAAACATGGCAATATTACACAAAGAATGTGATTCAAACATGCATACATACCTTATAAACACATACACCCCGTCCCGTATCCCCCTTAGACCCTATTGATGCATAATTACGAAAATATTGGAGACAGGTTTGGAAATGACGAAAATGTCGGTCAGTTTCGGTAACATCGAAATTGCAAATCGTTTCAGGAATTAACCGTCATCATGGCACTGCATTAACGAACAGTGGGTTTGCAATTAATAACTGTTTTGAGTGTATACACGCGCTATATAAATTAATCAAAGATACCTGTTATCCTCAAAATTGATCTTTTTATCCCGAGTAATCGCGATAATAATTATCAATCTATTTGACAACAATTTCGTTTCGCTGGTAGTTTAATTTTACGATCCGGGACACTCAGACGAACAGACACAATGACGGACATGCGGAATGTCACTTTAGAGATTGGTAAGTGTAGCCTCATTTTACTCGTATAAATGAACATTTAACACAAAAATATTGTGTTAAATCGCTTGATGTTATGTGTTTTTATATTATTGTCAAGTATCAGTTGCACGTTATCGCGGAAAAATGGTTTCGATAGATTCAGAACTTGCATCAAAGGAAAGAATAGTAAGGAGGTTAAACTCAATAACGGCCCCAAAAAATTCCTAATAATAAAGAACGCCGTTATTGAGTTTAACGACGTTGAACTAGGTATATCGGCAGAACGGGAACATTTTTCTTTTTCATCGAGAGATATTCCATCACTTTCCAAGATGGCAGTTGGATTTAAAATCGGATTCCCCGTTTGACTGACCCAGAAGTGGCCCAGAAGCACCAAAAATTGAGGAATTTGACGGTTGAAATAAGTTAAATATTACACGCAAATATTGTGATTAAAAACAAAAATTTCTTTGTTCTGCCGATAAACCCAGACAATTGTGGATTCAACTACAAGAAAAGAATGCTAAAATACCAAGGAATCTATTGAAATAGGTATCTAAGTGTAAGAAGCGTAGAAAATTCTCCTATGTTGTATCATACAGGCAAAAGAATGCTCTCAATGCAGGACTATAGTCCTGGCACGGGATAAGGAAAAATGCTTTCATACACATATATTTTGCACATAGCCATCTTTAGATAGCTTTGTGTAAACTAAGTAACTCAGAGACAAAACCCAAGACCCTATCCCTTGCAAGACTTATGCCTGACACAACTTTGCGAAACTTAAAAACACTTAATAACATGGGGACAGTTGTGCCAGGTATAAGTCTTGCAATAGATAGTATGTGCAAAACCCTGCCCTGTCAACCCTCAAGCATTAGGTGGATTGTCGCGCATTGAAAACACGCATCAATTTTGCGTATAGTAAAATGTCACACAAATCACGCATTGTGTTGATATTTAAAAAGTTTGGTTTTATGAAATGCTGATAAGGTAAAAAAACGAAGGCCGAAAAAAGCGAATGTATTCTGTTTGGACTTTTCATGCAAATTCTGTATGTGTCACACACTTGGTTCGAAATATGTGTATATGTCATGCATTGTACCTCCCCCTTGACAAGGTTTTTGAAGGCGAGCGTCAGCGAGCGGGAAAAATTTGAGGTATCCAATATTACGACCCAAGGTGTCAACAATTTGAAGGAAGGTGTTCAACATTTGTAAGTCACTCACGTTAGGTGTTCCCAAGTTGACAGGCCTGAAAACCTCTGTATAAAGGTATTTCCATGGGCTTTCAAATACTAAAGTTTTATGTGCAGTACGTACATCTGTGGGCCTTTTATAAAGAGTCGTTGTATAGAGAATACTCCAAAGGTCTGGGTGGAATCTGTATCTTTAAGGCTAGGTTTAGGGTGGGGCATTCTGATTTACCATACCCCCTTTTATCTGTTGCTCGCAATGGAATGTGTCTTCCAGGGTCATTGCATAGGGAATACATATGTTCAGTTTAGGGTGGAGTCAGTCTACATATTTTAGGCTTGTCCTATTATCTTTATTTAAATTATCGTGTTTTTATGTAATACTAGTATAGCAGTTGTAATACATATTTTACCTAGAGTACCAACCCTTGAATTTTATCACAGTAAACATGGACTTTAGTCTTTATCAGTTGATTGATTGCTTTACATGTACCTAATTAATAGAGCTGCAAGAGAAGGAAACCTTGAAATCTATGAAGCAATTTCTTGAAGACACATTTATTTTATATCTTACACAAAAGTGTGTAATGTTCTCTTGATGTTGTATTTCTTCATCAAGTTGACTGGTTTACTCACAAGTGACACAAGGAAGAGGGGGGAAAGCCTTAGAGCTTTAGTGATTACAGACATATTACGTCTGTTGCATAATGCATACCACCTTTGTTTGCGCAAGTTCTCACCAGTTTGTTTTTGAATATAACGCGTCGTAGTGATGGTTTAATCGATTTAAGCATATTTTTTACATCTTTCTTTATCTTGATGTGAAATAACAAGCTATGATATTGGTTGACACGCCAGAAATTAACATAATATTACATGTATTCGAAGTGTTATAAAGAATGTTAACAGGTTTACATTATAACTGTACGCCATCTTTGAACTCCGGGTTAATCCCCCTGGACACAAGGTTAATATTGACAAAATTGTTCAATAAATTAAATTCAATGCTCAATATTATTATAATATCTTTAGGTCCAAGATATTCTCATCTGAAGAAGACATATGAACCTGGTGGATTTTTGGGTCAGAAATTTTTTTAGTTATATAGGATAAAAAATTGTTTGCTATTTGTTCAAATTTTATAGGCTTATAGGATTGTCAACTTTCAATATAGCCACTCGTAAAAAGACGTTATCTTTGATAACTCAGATACTTGTTGCAAGTAGCAAGTAAAGTTTTGTTTGTTGTTTTGTAACAAGTTTTGTTGCAAAATTGTAAAAGAAGTGGTATCGATATGGAGAACTTTTTGAAGACATGTTTCTCTTAAACCAGTCATAAAAAAATCTAAAAATTTAACACATCGTCAATTTAATGGTCATCTTTAAATGGTAACAATATAATTTGAAAAATATATACGGTATATACTTTCATCTATATTGTTTTAGAAAACACATTAAACACTTGTTTTGTTCTTGGTATCATGTTTCCAGAGTGAACTGAAACATCTTTCCGAACCTCATTGGAACAAAATGCCATAAACACAACATGTTTAGGTCTCTCAATATTGTAATTGTACAAAGGAAAGTTTGATTGATTTTAAAAAAGTATCTTCAAAATAAAAGGGTTATCTATTTTTATCTATTTTGGGGGGATTTTGTTTTAATTTTTTGAATACTTTTTTAAAATCAACCAAAAATTCCTTTGTATAACTATAATATTGAGAGGTCTAAAAACATGTTGTACAAGAGGGCATTTGAAAAGTTCCTTTCTTTTTGCTCTAAAAATATGAGGAATGATCAGAACAAGACAAAACTTCTAGGATGTATAGTTTGAATATTTATTATTAAGCTGTGAAAATTATAGCGTGTAATATATTATAGCCACAGTTTTACATCCGTTTGAAATATACTTGTCTCGATACCGCGGAGCAGATTGAATGTGGATACTTTTACGTCACAATCAATGTATCCAACCATAATGTGCAGTCCATGGACCTATCTTATCTTTGCCACAACATTAAGCCAGTGGGCCTAAGCCAGGGCTCTATGTCTCCTTTGAAGTATTCTCCCCCAAATATAATACACTTTCTAAACCTCCGTATCCAATCCATATAGGCATTTTCCTGTTCAAGCATTACCTTCACTAAGTCAATGTTTTCTTTTAATATCGCTGTCTTTTTTCACCCACTTCTTGGCCAATCCTCGCTGGTTGAGATGCCTTTCTTGAACTTGTTGAACCAGCATCTTATCATGGGATAGGAACAACAGGTGTCTTCATATGTTGCTTTACATGTTCTTACAGTGTCCTTTAAGTCTTTTCCTTGTTTTACACAGATTTTAATGCAAAGTCTCTGCTCTTTGATAAGTTCATTTACCATTTGCTCCACTGTTTGGAAACACCTGCTCCACCCAAATTTTAGTGAATAGAGTGAGTCTG